CTGCCCACCACCACCATCTCAGCATGCACAGCCATACTTGTCTCTGCTAAGGGAGTTGGGAATCTAAAGCCAGGTTCTCCTGCTTGAGCAGCAAGTGCTGATCAAACGAGCCATTGCCCCGGCTCCACCACAAATGTTTTCAATTCCAGCATCTGGGACTGGAGAAAATGGCTCAGTGGCTAAAAATATATATTATTCTTCCAGGAGACCCAAGTTTGACTCCAAGAACCCATGTCAGACTGCTTACACTGTAGCCCAAAGAATCAAACACCTTTGGCCTCTGTGAGAACCTGCACTCACAGCCCACCCCCCACAATTAAAAATCACAAAAATAAGTTTTTAAAAAAATAATTCCAACATTCTATCATAATGGCCTATTATAGACTAATTTATTGTACTAAAAATGGAGGCTAATAACTTAGCTAAAAACAACCATGCAGTATTATCAATGAAAATTCTACAAAACTGATTTTCCAGTATACATTTTCTTCACCCCTTTCCCTGTAGAAAGGCTTCCATGTCAGACAAAACAAAACAAAACATTCCTTCCTCTCCTGGGACCCTAAACTGTCACAACCATGCTCTCAAGAGGCAAATGCCTCCCAGAATCCTTCTTTACAAGCTGCCCAGTAAGTGGCAGCCACAGCTTGCTTCTCAAGGGCATCCAGCTCTCAGCCCAGTGCTGTGTAACTTCTCAGTTTCTAATTTCCCAAAGAAATGCATTTTGAAAAGAAGCACATAGGTGAGCAGCTGGAGGAACTTTCCAGGCGCTATGGTCTGAGTCAACAGCAGACATGCTACAAAGTAGTCACGGGAAACCTAAACATAATTGGGGACACCATTATGTTTTAATAGGCAATGATTTGCTTCTTGAGCCAAATCAATTTCTGTTTTAATCCATTTGACACATGTACTCAGAAGTCCTATGATTCTTGCCTCTATAAATGTAATTTGGATATCACTGAAAACCTCCTGGACTGGGAGGACAGGCTCCCAGGGACTCTCAGTGACAAGGCAATTGGAAGAAGGGTCCTGTGAATAACAGTCACGAAGCTTTTCTAGGACATTAACCTTAGACGATTGAAAGCAATATTTGTGAGTGCCTTACCCTGACAAATGTCTCCCCCACCCCCAACCTTGCTGGCACAACTGAAAAACACAATAACTATGAG